AGCCTTATAGGTATGTGTCTGCTGCAGAGACAACACATTATCAACCCCTCAGCGAATTCACGCAGTGATGAGCATGCCCTTCAGGATGCCAATTTATGGTCTATCACTCCTGCAAACAACACTCAAGCTAAGCCATACCGTACTAAAGTAAAAGTGGAAACCCCTTTAATTTAAGGGTTATTGTAAATGTAAACATCTTCTGAACAAAAAAGGTATTTGACAAAAATTGTTTCAGAATATGTTTTCTATAGCTTCACTGTGTTAAATTGTGGACATTTGTATAATTTTGAGCTGATTTTAAATTTCATCTAATGGTTGATAAATTAGATTTTATACTATTTAAACTGAAAATTTTGGGGTTGTTTGGGTGTAATCATTTGTCTTTTGAATAAGTCAGGTAATTGCTTTAAATTATAATTAAAGTATGTTGTCTGTAAGATGGGCGGCATGGTGGGCCAGTGATTAGTGCTGTTACCTTACAGCAGGAAGGTTCCAGGTTCGAGCCCCAGCTAACCTGAGGCCTTTCTGCGTGGAGTTTGCATGTTCTCCCTGTGCCTGCGTGGATTCTCTCCGGGTACTCCGGCTTCCTCCTACAGTCCAATGACATGCAGCTTAGGTTGATTGATGACTCTAAATTGCCTGTAGGAGTGAGTGAGTGAGGATGTGTGTGTGGTTGTCTGTCTCTAAATGCCAGCCCTGTGTTAGGGTGTATCCCACCTCTCGCCCAGGGTCAGCTGGGATTGGCCGTAGCCCCCATGACCCTCCACAGGATAAGCAGTATAGGTAACGGATTGATCGATTGATCGTTTGTAATAGCAGCTGTTTTTAGAGGCAGCATTGAAGAGGTGATAAGTGTCCATGTGGCACATGAGGAGCGTACTGGGTCATGACATTAGTTTGAAGTTCTTATTCCAGCACTTGTAGATTAGTCGGTCCCTGTGGGACTCAGTGTCGAGTGGCTCTTAGAGCTTATTGTTTTTGTCAGCTTTACAGCTGCCGTTACACTCTATTAACTGACTGATTTGATATTTGATTTGGGGAAAATATCAACCTTCATGTTGCTGGTCCACCTCTACAAATGATGCTTTTACTGTTTTTCTATATTTCCATTCATGTTAAATTGTGGCTCTTGCTATTTGAATTCTTGACATTTCTTTCATTAGCTGATAGGCACAGCTTTGCCTTGAAACTGAATGTGTGTGCTTTTGATGCTATTAGAGACCATATCAGGCATCAGGTTAATCAGAAAGTACTAGATTTCACATTGCATTATCTGTTTAAAGTTAATGACACTGACCCACTGTTACAGTTTTACAAACATTAATTTTAATGATTATTGTTTTCATTGAGAGCCCTTTTCAGATTTTACAGTAACTTGTTTCATTTCACACTGTGATCATACTGTATGATATTTTGCAATGGCTGTGTCACTGCAAATATATTCAAGAAATAACAGCAGGGTGTAGTGTTCTCAGAACCACTTAAAATGTTCAACCACATTGTCGTTGTGCTCGGTCAAACAGAAGGAACCAGGTCAGGTAGAATGACAGCAGTGGTGTCACCGCTATTGGCAAAAATGCTGTCATGAGCCAAAGCCTAAAGACCCAATTGGTACAGTGATTTCACCAGAGTTACTTGAAGTGATGCTTCTGCCTGCTGACCAGGCTAGACTGGAAGCTGTCAGCAGCAACATGATCAAGGGATTCTCAAGCACAGGAGCACAAGACTGTGAATAGCTGTAAAGGTCTTCTGAGTGTATGAACATCAACTTCTCCATAGCAGAGTTTACTTACTGTATTTTTATTCAATTTGTATGGTAAAAATTACTGAATTGTAGCTGTTTAATGTCAAAGATTGTACCTGTGCCCAGTCTTGCTTCTGCTGTCTCATCTGAGTCATACAGCAGACTGCTGGATGCAATTCTTTTTAGAATATCATATAGTATCATGAAGTCCAGCTCTGTTTACTTGTAGCCAGGTGATGGAGATGGGACAGAAATAACACTGGCGATATTTTATGCGATCTTTTGATGCCTGCATACCGAGGCAAATGATCTCTACTGAAGTATGTGATGTACACAAGTTCTCTTCTCTCATGTAATGGGGTGGAGAGGATTAAAAAGCACTAAATGGAAATGCCCGCAGAGGAAATGGCCAGGTGACTTTGTTTGCCCCTGCAGCATATGTCCGTGATGTATTGTCAGATTATTGTGACCTTCCTCTCAGTCATACCTGTGAAGATAGATTTGGCAGTGAAATCCTGAGAGGGATTACAGCTTTCGATGGGTTTATGGTGTGTTTTTCTTTTTACATTTCACTCTGCAAACATAAAAATATTTGTCAGAAAAATTGGACTTTCAGGATGTAGTTTGTATTTGAGCTTGCTGGATCAGTATTTGAGGCTGCATTTTGCTATATGAATGTGTCCTGTTGGTGGTGGTGAGTGGGCAGGGTACTATCAAGGAAGCAGAATCCAAACAATCATCATTTCGTCCACAGCAGAGGGAATTTCTCAAATGCTGCCTCCATCCCTGTATCATCAGTTATGCTCATGAATGCCAAAATGGCCTCCTGATGGGCTGCCTCTGTGAGTGTTCCCTCTGAGAGCCGTAGGAAATACTGTGTCCGACAAGTGTTTTCGAGTTGCATCACTGGAAGCAGAACAACACAACACTCCAAGCATATCAAAAAGCATATAGCAGGGCAGTACTTCATTGTTGGTGTTTTACTTTTCATTTTTGTGTTTCAGTTTAAATTGATAAAATGCCACAGAATAAAGTTCTGTGTGATACTGTAGGAAGTGATATATCAAGTGTAGTACCTGTGTATGGTTTAATACTATCCAACACATCTCAATCAGTTTTTTTAGTATGAGCAGGACATTCTTACTTTTTGTCTTTATTTTTTTCACTAGTTAGAAATGGACTGGGCATATTTGGATAAGGTAGTGTTATGAACTTCTGAGCACCAATCAGAGCCTAGCAACATTTAAATCCGACTTTTAAGATAAAAGTGAGGTTACTTGTTTGCTAATGTTTCCATTCTACTGTCAATCAAATATGTCCACTGCCTAAGAAATTCTTCCAGAGGTGTGAAGTTAAAGATCTCGCACACAGAGGCTTCAGCCAGGCGTTGGCCACTCACCTCCACCGCACATTTGGATTTACCAGAACTGTCTGAATCTCTTCCCTGCCGTTAAATCCAACTCACCACCAGGTAGTGATCAGCTGACAGTTCTAGCTGAGGGTGCGAGACCTATGACCACAGACCCAACATGATGACCACAAAGTTGTTCATCAAGGTTTTCTGATCTCAAGTACACTTATGAACCATCTTGTCCTTGAACGTGGTTGTTGTGCCAAATCAAATCACTCAAGTCCAAATCAGGCAGACCGTTCCTCCCAGTCACCTCCTCCAGGCTTTTTCAAGTCGGGGAGAACTCAAACAAGCAGTGCTGATCGAAGGACTTGTGATCATTCTGAAAGCCACTTGACTTCTCTCCCCCTGGCCAGCTGTGGAAAAGTCCAGCCCTTCTCCAGGAGTTTGGTTCTAGAACAAGTGTGCAGAGTTTAGGTGAGCCCATAGCTTGTACCCTCCACCTCCTGCACCAACTCTGGTTCTTTCCCCACCAGAATTTCCCAGAACAGACA